GAAAGAGAAAGGCTAGAGGGGAGATGCTGTATGGAGTGAAAAAAAATTTTTTAAGATGGAAGTGGCTTAATTAAATTTCTAATGCTGAGGGGGAAAAGTTGAAGCTGTAAGAGAAAGCTGTGATAGAAAGATCCTGGCCCATGAGGGTTATGTGAGGAATGGTGATTGAGCCAGAGCACAGGGTTAAGTTTAGAAAAGAGCAGAAGGTGTAGGCGTTTCATCCTTTGAGTCCCAAGGAAAGAATGGGAACAGTGGAGGCTGGATGGAGTCAGGAACCTGAGGAAGTCTATTTAATAACATTCTTTAATTCCTGTGTGGGCCAGAGCCCAGGTCATCTGCTGAGAGTAACCTGGTAGAAGAAGGGGCTTGAAGGGCATAGGGAAATTTTAAACAATTCTTGAGTGTTTCTTGAAGGCTAGACACCATGCTAAGACTTGGTATATGAAGGTAAATAAGACATAGTCCCGTCCTCCAAATGACTAATCCTTCTGGTGAAGAATTTAGATATATAAAGAAATAAGTTTAGAAAAGGAGGCATGCGGTTTTGCCTGAGGTTGGAGGGCTGGGGGAGGAGGTCAGAGAAGGTGGCATTTGAGCAGATTCAGTCTTACTGAGTAGAAGATTGCCAGGGAGAGATGGGAAAGGAGAAAGGAGAACATTTGCAATGGCAAGGATGTATGGCCAGGCAGGGAAAATTAAAAACAAAACAAAACAAAAACAAACAAAAAATCAACTTTTTATTGAGATATAACATGCACATAGAAAAATGCAAAATCACATTTATACAGCTTGATGAATTTTTTTTTTTTTGCGGTATGCGGGCCTCTCACTGCTGTGGCCTCTCCCGCTGCGAAGCACGGGCTCCGGACACGCAGGCTCAGCAGCCATGGCTCACGGGCCCAGCTGCTCCGCGGCATGTGGGATCTTCCTGGACCGGGACACAAACCTGCGTCCCCTGCATCGGCAGGCGGACTCTCAACCACTGCACCACCAGGGAAGCCCCAGCTTGATGAATTTTGACAAAGTGAACACTCCCGTGTCACCCGCACCCAGGTCAAGAAGCAGCCTCAAGAGCAGGCAGGGCTGATTTGAAACACAGTGGGAGAGGTTGGGCGAGGGGCTTGCGGGGCAGCCAGGGTCTTCGTGTGGAGGTAGGAGAGGGAGGGCAGCTGTGCAGTGTGGAGAGGGGCCCTGCTTGGCTTCTGGCTTTGTAGTCAAGGAGTGATTGTTTTTCTGCCAGTCCTGCAAAATGACTGTTACTTTGTAAAATTGATGTAAAGACGCTGTTTATTTTACTTATTTAGAAGAGAGAACTTTCTTATGAAAGAACTTGTTTATCTCATTGTATACATTATGTGAGATTTTGGAGGGGTGTTTTAAAAAGCTTATTTGAAAATTAATTTGTTTTCTCCATTTTTTCTTTTTACGTAGGGCTATTATGTGAACCGTGACATGCTAGGAGAAAAAGGAGATTTCATTACTTCACCTGAAATAAGTCAGATCTTTGGGGAGGTAATATCCAATGTAAACTCTAGAAGAAACTAATTATCAAACATTTGAGAGTAGATCAAGTAGTAGTATTCTACAGTAGTGTTTTACAGCTTTGTTTTTGGTGATTCATCAAGTTTTAATTTTTTAGTGGTTTATATACTGAAGGAATAGAGAGTAATAGAGGTATCGAGGGCATTTGAAAGGTTTATACTTTACTGTAGAAAAGGAAATGTAGAGATACAAAGGCCAGAAGGAAAGAAAAAGAAAAGAAATGGAAGAAAAGGTGTTGGAAAAGAGGAGAACCAGGTGAAAAAATGAGAATGGAAAGACAAAGAGAGACAACAGGCAAGGTGAAGAAGACGGTTGAGAGTTCCCTCAAGAAGGGAGAGAGAAAAGATAAAAAATACTGAGGGATTAGTGGAATCAAAATGCACTATAGCCTATACCCCTTATTTAGCTGTATTTACAGTAGAAGTCTCCTTAAGAACTTTGAATTCTTTTCAGGAATTCTAGTTCATTTATTTCCATATATAACTTTTGATCACTTTAGAAATAGAAAATGGTACACAAAAAGAAGAAAAATCTAGGCATTAAAAATATTAATTATGACTTAAAGCCATGTAATTATTGAAATTACATGAATATGAAGAAATGGCAGAATCATATTTCATATGTCTGTTTGCTTTCAAATACTAGTACCTTTCGGTAAGTGATACCCTCTTATCTGTGTCATGGGACCTTTTATAGTAGAGGCTGCCTTTTAACTAGGTGTTTTCTTTTGTTATTAAGCTTCCTAAGTGGTGTCTGTTGTACTGTAGTCCCAGTGAAGTTCCTGTGTGCGTATACATATATTAACATGTTAAATAACGTGTATGGTTGTTAGGAAACATTTTGCCTTCCGGTGTAAAGTCTGTTTACATAGAATTTTATATTGTGTTATACTTTTATGCTTTATAATGCTTGAATGTAGTTCTTTCCTTGTCACAGCTCCTAGGGATATGGTTCATCAGTGAATGGATAGCCACTGGAAAAAATGCAGCTTTCCAACTGGTGGAACTGGGCCCAGGCAGGGGTACCCTCTTGGGAGATATTTTGAGGGTAAGTAATAAAAGAATGTCTTAAAGTTTCATGTACCTGACCCTTGTCACTTTTGACTGAGTTTGAAAACTTTTTTGATTTCATTGCTTTTCAGTCTTATCTCCTTAATCTCATATTTCTCAGCTAAAATGTAATGTCAAAATAATATAATGAATCATTACTTGTTATCTGTTTCTAATCTTAAAAAATGGGGGTGAGGGGAGAATGTAAAAGCTAAAAGTATAAAACATTTAGAAGATATTATGGGAGAATATATTCATCTTCTGAGTAGGGAGTTTTTTACATTATATAAAAAGCAGAAGCCATAAAGGAAAAGATTAATAATTTCAAATACATTAAAATTAAGAACTTTTTTGTTCTTTAAAGAAACTAGGAACATTTTGTTCTTCAAAGACACCATAAAGAAAGTGACAAGACAAAACACAAAGTGGGAGGAGTTATTTGTAACACATATAACTAACAAAGAACTGGTAGTTAGAATACATAAATAACTTTTTTCTTTTATAGATTTATTTTTTATATTTTGGCTGCGTTGGGTCTTTTGTTGCTGTGCACGCTTTCTCTAGTTGTGGCGCGCTGGGCTACTCTTCGTTGTGGTGTGAGGGATTCTCATTGCAGTGGCTTCTCTTGTTGCGGAGCACGGGCTCTAGGCTCGCAGGCTCAGTAGTTGTGGCGCATGGGCTTATTTGCTCTGCGGCATGTGGGATTTTCCTGGACTAGGGCTCGAACCTGTGTCCCCTGCATTGGCAGGCAGATTCTCAACCACTGCGCCACCAGGGAAGCCCCGAAGATCTCCTTTAAATCCGTAAGAAGGTGACAGATAACTCAGAAAAGTCACGCCAAAGATGTGAACAGGCCTGTCATAAAAGAGGAAATCCATGTGGCTAATGAAAACAGAAAGATGCTCAGACTCATTGGTAGTCAGGGAAATGAAAATTAAAATCACCGTGAGTAACCCCTGTACCCTCAAAATTAGAAAGTCTGACGACACCAAGGTTGTCAGACCTTGGTTGGTGAGGATGGGGAGCAAGGGGAACTCTCATGTACTGCTTGTAAGTGTATTTTGGTACAACCCCTATGAATAGCTACTGGGCATATTCTACTAACATAAAAGTTATTTACATTGTATGTTCCAGAATAAATTGTGAGTTTATTTTGTGTGTACCTGACAAATCAGTGTAAAACAAAAATGCATATTCAATGTAAAGAAATTTAAATTTCTTGGGCTTCCCTGGTGGCGCAGTGGTTGAGAGTCTGCCTGCCGATGCAGGGGATGAGGATTTGTGCCCCAGTCCGGGAAGATCCCACATGCCGCGGAGTGTCTGGGCCCCGTGAGCCATGGCGGCTGAGCCTGCGCCTCCGGAGCCTGTGCTGCGCAAGGGGAGAGGCCACAGCAGTGAAAGGCCCACAAAAAAAAAAAAGAAAGAAAAGAAAAAGAAATTTAAATTTCTTGATGCTATGTGATTTCTGCTTGAAATTAAGAATTGAAGGATTTTTTTTTCAAAGAAAACTTACAAATATCTGACAAATAAGAATCCTTATTATATTGTATGTATTTGGTGGTGGGGGTAACCCACTGATTTATGTTTCCAGGGCTCTATTTTGTATCTTTTTAAATTGACAAAGTCATTTGAATATAAAATATTTAATAAGATTCTCAAACAATATTTTGTTTCAAGAACTTTAAAAATTAAGCCCAAAGCTCTTTTTTTTCTTAAAAAAAATTTTTTAATTGAAGTATAGTTGATTTACAGTGTTTCAGGTGTACAGCAAAGTGATTATATCTATATTTTCAGATTATTTTCCATTATAGGTTACTATAAGATATTGAATATAGTTCCTTGAGCTATACAGTAGGTCCTTGTTGTTTATTTTATATATGGTAGTGTTTATTTGTTAATCCCAAATTCCTAATCCCTGTCCCCCATAATCCATTCTTTATGCTTGTCTTTTGGAAAGAAAATGCTTGGCTTTATCATTCCCCTGCGGAAACATCTTTGGCAGCTACCCTCTTATCAGTACAAGATGTTCACAACCAGACTTGTTTCTGGGCTCTACCTTGAACTCCGTGCTCCAAACTATATGCACCGAACTATACCCACAGCTCTTAAAATGTCTAAAGGATGCTTCCCTAGATCAAGTCCTGAGAACTCTTAAAAAGCCAAAGAATTTAAAGGAATGTAAAGAAAATAGCCAAAGGTGTAATTACAGACTTTATTTTTGATCATATTTCTGAAGGATTTTTCTCTTGGGGAGAAGTTTTTCTATGTATAGTTTCATCTCCAAACTAAATTTGGAAAAGTCGTCTTGTCCTAATCAGTCTGTACCTGCATATTCAGGTCTCAAAAGTAGGAGGCAAATCACCAGTGAGGATTAAATTCAAATGAAAAAAATATTAATGTACTTTATGCAATTGGCATTGAATTTTTAGCATTAAAATATTGATAAAACATTAGTATATTCCTTTTTTTCTCATGTTTACAGTAGCAAAAAGTGTGTGGCTAAGAAGAAATTGAAAATGGGAAAGAATCTCAGAGTTAAACTGTCAAGTAATTAGTGGCATTCAAATCTGATTTCTTGTGGATACAGTCTGATCATCTCAGGAGTGAGACTATTTTGTAGGCATAGCAGCTTTTTCTTTTTCCTTTATTCTTTATTTTTTTTCAGGCTGTTGCCACAGCCTCCTGCTGCCCAAGGTTTGCTGGCCTAATCACTTGAGATACAGCACTTTGACTTCCACATCACTTTTTAGGGCCCTACTTGCTGTATCATTGGCTAGTCAATGATCTTCTTTGGGATACTCTCTTCATAGCAGCTTTTTATTTTTATTTTATTTTTTTAAAATTTTATTTATTTATTTTTGGCTGTGTTGGGTCTTCGTTTCTGTGCGAGGGCTTTCGGGGGCCACTTTTCATCGCAGTGCGCGGTCCTCTCACTATCGCAGCCTCTCCCGTTGCGGAGCACAGGCTCCAGACACGCAGGCTCAGTAGTTGTGGCTCACGGGCCTAGTTGCTCCGCGGCATGTGGGATCTTTTCAGACCAGGGCTCGAACCCGTGTCCCCCGCACTGGCAGGCAGATTCTCAACCACTGCACCACCAGGGAAGCCCCCATAGCAGCTTTTTAAAATCAAGCCTAGCTCTTTACCCATGAACTTGCTGTGTGGCCCCAGGTGTGATGTGTATAATAATTTTCAGGTCTTATAAGTAATAAATCTCTGTTTTTTCAAAGTTAAAGAAAAATCAAGGCTATATACATTTTATTTCTTGGGGCTTTTTTTAGACTCCCTAATCTGAATCATTGTTTTTATTGGATGCTAAAGCTTTTATTTTCATTTGTTAGTCCTAATTCTAATTTTTATCAGTAGGAAACCAAACTGTACTGTGTACTATGTACTGTTCATTTCTTATATGGACTATGTTTAATAACTCCAGTAGGTTATGATTCTCATAGACTGCTGGAGAGTGACTTGTGTGAGGTTCTCTGAAACCAATTATTACTTTTGCTGTGACATGAGCAAATTATTGAGGTAAATGGTTAGAAAACCTAAAATCTACTCAGCAAGATTTTGCCAATTTCTTCTTCTTTTTATATTTAGGTGTTCAGTCAGCTTGCATCTGTGCTGAAAAACTGTGACATTTCAATACATCTGGTAGAGGTGAGCCAAAAATTAAGTGAGATTCAAGCATTAACGTTGACTGAAGAGAAGGTCCTATTAGAGCGAAATGCTGGATCCCCAGTATATATGAAAGGTGTCACTAAGTCTGGAATTCCAATTTCCTGGTACCGAGATCTGCAAGATGTGCCAAAAGGTAATTATTTTACATTGATTAATGAAAGAATTTTGATCACAACCCCTCACAGTAGTGATAGGTGACCACAACCTTGTAGAGCAATGTAGTAGATTGAGTTAGGGCTGCCAAGTCCCTGACCTATAGAGAACAGCATTGTGTTAGAAAACAATTTCATGTGGTGTTGCAAAAACCAAAGCAAACCAAAACCAAAACATGGATCTCTGGTTGTCCTTTTTATTTTTTCCCTACCCCTCAGATAGTACTGATGATGAAGCAGCCCGAGGCAGTGGGGCCTGAAGGAAGCAGTGTTAGTAGATGAGTTTTTTACTTTAATTATCTCATCTTTTGATCATCCTTACTTGCCTAAAGGCAAGCAAGGGGTGGTACGAGAATCCCTTCACTCCTCAAGAATGTTATATTGACGAGCCCCAGCTCAAACCTAAAGTGGTGGTCTGACCTTGGCCAAGGCACCACAGCCATTCCTGGCCTTAAGCGTCTTGGATGATTTTAGGAAATTCAAATCCTCTTCCAGCTAACAAATTTGAGTTCTGATTTCTTTTGGGCCTGGTGATGAATAAAACATTAAACTGATAACTGGGATATTGCAGCTCTCTGACCCTCTATGTGGAAAATGGGAATAGTAATAATTGTTCCTATGTATGTTCTGCACAGTAGGTTTGCCATGAAGAGGTGGGTGATTCTGTGGAAGTTATAATTATGGAAGCATCACAAGTCCCATTACGAAGAACTATGCATTTTCTTTTTGTTAATGTTCAAAACAACCAATTGATTGCCTTGAAAATGCTGAAATGTTAATTTTTTTTCTTCTGTTTTTAAATAGAGTACAGCTTTTATCTTGCACATGAATTTTTCGATGTTCTTCCTGTGCATAAGTTTCAGGTATTGATGGGAAAGAAGTCACATTTACAATTGAATAACAAAGGGCCTTATGTTGTAAGAATAAACATTTATGGTGTTTAATTATTGTTGAAGTTAGCTATATCTGGAAGTTTGATGAATATAAGTAATTGAAAGGCAAAAGTGAAATATTAAGAATTCTTAATTCTTAGGATATTAAGGATTCTTAATTCTTCTGGGATAAAGGTGTATGAGAATGTAAGATAGTAAATCACTATAGTGCAGTGAAGGATTATTTTTTAGCAACTATTTTTAAATTCCAAAAATTAAAAATGTTCTTCATTCTTTCTGTGAGGAGATTGAAGATTTGGTGGTAATGCACATGTACTGGTAACTTGTAGGGCTAAGAGTATATATTATTAGGTAGTAATTTGTTGGCAGAAGCTTCTGATTAGTCCTCCTAAGTCTGTTTTCCATTTTGGGGGCACTTTCCATGTTGCTTATTTCCTCCTCCATTTCTTATCTAAACAGCATTAATAGTTTGCATCTGTCATTCTACTCATACTGTTAAAAGGAAATGAAGTAATGCCTTTAAATAATTTAAGTGGTAAAGTGCTCTGTAAATGTTAGTTATCTATCTTATATATGATAAGAGGAGAAAAGTTATTTTGGTAGAGGCAATTTTGAGAACTTGCAAAAATTTGTTTTTATGTGTTATTTTATGTTTAGAAAACACCACACGGATGGCGAGAAGTACTCATTGATATTGATCCACAGGTTTCTGATAAACTGAGATTTGTTTTGGCGCCTTGTGCCACCCCAGCAGAAGCCTTCATACAAGTAGGAATAATTTTTTTTTCTTAGTTTATTGCCAACCAAATCTTCAGTCTTATTTTCTTAGTATTTTAGAGTTCCTTGTAACATGAAAGGTGCTTTTTATTAATAGTGAAAACGCACAGGATTTAGAGTCAGGAGACTGGGTTCAAATCATTTCTTAGCTGTGTGACCTTAATGTAATAAGAAAGTAAGTGCTTACTCAGCAAGTCCCTGACTCTCTCTGTTTACCTCAGTTCTCTATCAAATGGTGACAATATTGTCTACTTGACAGGAAGTTATTTATCTGTGAAAACAATGTAGTACAGTGTAAAGTAACAATAGCAATATTTATTGAATATTTTGTATGTATTACTTTTTTTAAATTTATTTTTGGCTGCACTGGGTCTTCGTTGCTGTGCGCTGGCTTTCTCTAGTTGCAGCGCGTTGGGACTCCTCTTTGTTGCGGTGCGCAGGCTTCTCATTGCGGTGGCTTCTCTTGTTGCAGAGCACAGGCTCTAGGTGCGCGGGCTTCAGTAGTTGTGGCACGCAGGCTCAGTAGTTGTGGCTCGTGGGCTCTAGAGTGCAGGCTCAGTAGTTGTAGCTCGTGGGCCCTAGAGCACAGGCTCAGTAGTTGTGGCACACAGGCTTAGTTGCTCCGTGGCATGTGGGATCTTCCCAGACCCGGGCTCAAACCCATGTCCCCTGCATTGGCAGGTGGATTCTTAACCACTGCACCACCAGGGAAGCCCCTGTTACTCTATTTTCTCATTTAATTCTCAAAACTATTATTAGGTAAGTTTTATTATCACTCTCTTTGGGCTACTGTTAGAGCATGCCTTTTTTCTCATGCTTCCACCCAAATTAAAATTTGATTACTCCTTCTTTCTATTGTCCTCAAGGAATAATTGCAAGAGCCTATGTATCTTCGGTTTGAGTTTAAACGTTCAAAACACCTGTACTTCTCAGGAATGTTTGAGCTTTAGATTGCCTGTTTTATTCCCTTTTTTTCGAGCTCAGAAAAAGATGGTTTCTACTTTCTGGACCATAACTAAGAATTTCTGCCTTAGAAGTTACCGATTTTAAAAGCAGAAGAGCTTTTAAACGTAAACCTATGAATTAAGTTTTCATTGCAAAGCATAAGTTTAAAATACCAGCCTAAGTGCTTGTGAGCATTTCTTTTTCATACTCTGGCTAATTTTACCTGAGTGAGAAACAAATTCATAAAGCTACTGAGAGCTAACCCCCCGAGAGTTCATTGATTTTAGGTCTTCACTTGAACAGTGTACACTTATGAGAAAGGGAGTGATGATTTCCCTCTCATTTGGATAGAGCAAATGGTAATGGAATCTCATCTTGAAGAGCAGTCTAGGATATTAAGAATGTCAGCATGGAACGCTGAGTCGTGTCACCTTATGCCTGAAGCAGCTGACCCCGTGGTTTATATAGTCAAACCACAGTAATTTATTTAATAGCACTGGAGGCTTAGTGGTTTATTATTTCATTTAATTCTCACAATAAGCCTAGTATATGAAATAGACTGTGAAAGGTTAAGTAACTTGTCTCTAGTAAGCAGATGATGAGGTGAGACTCAAGGGCTGAGTCTGCCTGACTGTGTACCTCTTAGACCTGTGCCATTATAAGCAAGAGACATCAGAGCAGGTCAGTACTTCACTTGTACTAGGTGTCAGGAGGGAGCAACAGTTAATGTACGTTTGCACAATGAGGAAAAAATCTTTTCATTATCACAGGAATTAGTGAAATTTCGTATCTGCTAGTCCAGTTGGTAAGAATTACTATTTATTGTCAATACACGTTTTAAGCTAGTATGTACTTCTTGAGGACCCTTAGTTAATAGTTGAACATCTTGGGAAATTAGGGCTTCAGGTACATTACTAGTTTATAAGCTGGTATTGCTAGATATAGGGCATATCGTTGAGGTACCTTTTCCCGCAAAAGAAGGCAGATATACTTGCTTTAATAGGGTCTGTTTTGTTATATTGGATTTATATCATTTGTTCTGCCAGCACAAATTTTTAATGTCTCTTATGTGTCAGACACTGTTCTAGGCAAAAATTCCTTTTCCATGCTTTCAACCCAGTGGAATATATTTATATGAATTATGATACAGAAGTAAAATCACCATAAATAAAATGATAATGTTCTTAGCCATCTGGAGGGTTGAGGGGGCATATGCCTTTTTATAAAAGGCATTAAAATTAAAATATCGGGCTTCCCTGGTGGCAAAGTGGTTGAGAATCCGCCTGCCGATGCAGGGGACACGGGTTCATGCCCTGGTCCGGGAAGATCCCACATGCCGTGGAGCGGCTGGGCCCGTGAGCCATGGCTGCTGAGCCTGCGCGTCTGGAGCCTGTGCTCCACAACGGGAGAGGCCACAACAGTGAGAGGCCCGTGTACCACCAAAAAAAAAAAAAAAAAAAAAAAAAAAAAAAAAATCTTCGTAAAATGAATGGATATCAGAGAACCAAGGAGTTCTGTATAATATAAAGGATGGCATGTGAAAAGTTGAGTGTAGACAACATATTCATACTGAGAAGGAATTGATTTTTTTTATTTAAAAAAAATTTTTTTAAAAATTTTTTTGGCTGTGCTACATGCGGGACTTTAGTTCCTTGACCAGGGACTGAACATGCGCCCCCTGCAGTGGAAGCGTGGTGTTCCAACCACTGGCCCACCAGGGAAGCCCTGAGAAGGAATTTATTTTTATTGTAACTAAGAAATGCTCATTGTAGAAAAACCCTAAGGAAACAGGTCTTTTGAATGATGTATTTTGATTCATCTGTTCCCTTACTAGTGTGATGAAACAAGGGATCACGTGGAAGTGTGTCCTGATGCTGGTGTTATTATTCAGGAACTTTCTCAACGCATTTCAGTAACTGGAGGTGCTGCCCTGATTGCTGATTATGGTCATGATGGAACTAAGACAGATACCTTCAGAGTATGTATAATTCAGTCACATGATTTATCAGAATTTAACTGGTACAATTTACTTACAGTTGTCATTTGTTAGGTTTGAAGCTCATTGAAGATCTTATTTTGGTTTCTACAGTGCTTAGCACTGTTGTATTACATTATTTTATAATTAATCCATGTTATTATAATTACCCTTAACCCTGTATCTTACTGTCCACCTCTCCTCTGAACAGGGTCTGGATTGTCTGCATTATTCCTCAAGTTGCAGAACCTAGGTTTGCATAGATCCTAGTAAGCATCTGAATAATTCAAATTGAAAGATTTTCTTAAAAGTTCTTAAAAATTTCCCCTCCTTCATTTAAAAAAACATTTACTTTTTATAGATTTGATCTAGCTACTGTAATCAAACTTTTTCTGTCATATTTTCAACACGTTTTTTCCTTTCCAGATATATTGTTTTATCCTTCCTAAACATCCTTTCTTATGCTTTTGGAACAGGGGTCCCCAACCCCTGGGCCTCAGACCATTAGTGGTCCTCGGCCTGTTAGGAACCAGGCCACACAGCAGGAGGTGAGCAGCAGGCCAGTGAGCGAAGCCTCAATCTGCTGCTCCCCGTCACTCCCATTACCACATGAACCATCCCCAAAATTGTCTTCCACGAAAGCGGTCCCTGGTGCCAAAAAGGTTGGGGACCGTTGTCTTGGAATATGATCAATTCTGTTCGATGTACTTTAATTAAAGTATACTGAAATACATTTAACTAGATGTTATTAAGTCATTTTCTAGATCGGTGTTTCTCAATTTCTAACTTTATTCTTTTAAAGAAAAACGTGGAGGGTTTTTTTTTTCTTTAAGCACTGATTCTCTAGGCTTATCTCCAGGATTCTGATTTGCTAGGTCTGGGTAGAGTCCAGTAACATTTTCTCAGGTGATTTTTTTTTTTTAATAATTTTTATTGGAGTATAGTCACTTTGCTCTCAGGTGATTCTGATGCATATAGTTGATGGATACACTTTGTAAAACACCATCTAGATTCTGGTAACCTGAATTAATCTGGAGAATTCTCTTATAACTTCATCACCATGGGCATTAATGAAAATTTTAAACAACTGTCAAAGGCAGCATCTTCAGGCACTATAACATAGCACTTTATAGTGGGTTTTTCACATAGCATCTCATTTGAAGAAAGGGTGCTATTTGGTAAGAGTTTGTAAACCACTGATATTGGCTATATTTTCCTTTTTAACAGTTGTTATGTAAAATGTACTAAAATGATAGCATTTCTTTAATCTTGATAATGATAACCATAAAGGTACAAAAACTCATCATTTAAAAAATTATGTTCAAGGGGTTTTGTGGCCACAGGCTTCATGATGTCTTAATTGCCCCGGGAACAGCAGACCTCACAGCTGACGTGGACTTCAGTTACTTGCGCAGAATGTCCCAGGGGAAAGTAGCTTCTCTGGGTCCAATAAAACAGCAAACATTTTTAAGAAATATGGGCATTGATGTCCGGCTGAAGGTAATGATTTATGTTATTTCACTGTTATTAAATATTTTAATTTCATACTATTTCAATAAAGTTCACTTGGCCTTAATGCTCTTGTTGTTAGTCAGATCCTTGGTGTTCCAGTCTTTTCAGTAGTATAGGGTTCAGTGTAACCAGACAGCCTGGGGGTGGAGCAGCCTGGTAAGTTCCATGCATCTCTCTTGAGGTAAAATGAAGACTTGCAAATAATATTCACGTTTGTTAAGAAAACTTGACTGCTTGTATGAGTATGAATTTTACAACTGTTTTGAAGACATCTTAACCCTTCAGTGTAGATCAAACTACCTGGGAATATTTGCTAAACATACAAATCCATAGGTTTGGGTCACAGCAACCTGTGTCTTTAATAAACACACCATGATTCTAAGAGATGATCAGAAATTACATTTTAAGCACTGTTTTATTGAATAGCTAATAGTCATTAGTATTACTGCAAATAACTAGGAATCCTTTCTCCTGGTTATTTTCACTAAGAAATCTTTTTCTTTTCAGGTTCTTTTAGATAAATCAGATGAGCCATCACTGAGGCAGCAGTTACTTCAGGGCTATGATATGTTAATGAATCCTACGAAGATGGGAGAAAGATTTAACTTTTTTGCCTTGATACCTCATCAGAGACTTCATGGTAGAAATCATCAGATGAATGCATGTCAGTCAAAACCCTCTCCATCACCTGTAGCTGGGTTTGGTGAACTTGCTTGGCGGTGATATTTCAGTGGACTTTTTACTCCCAAGTTGGCCTAAGAAACTAGAATAAAGGGAACACATTTTATATATCACAGGTAAAATAAGTACTAAAATATTTTTATCTCTTCACAGCCAATAAAAATAGCCCATACAGTAGAACTGAAAATTGATCTTTTAAGATTGTGTTTGATTCTTGGTACAAATGTGTGTTCTCAATTTAATGAAACTTATTATTGGGTTTCCTTTAATTAATAAAGCTAGTTGCTGTATGTTTATTTGAAAATGTAAACATGAATTCTGATTGGTTTTATAACTGGAAACAACTGGCCATTCACAGGGGACTGATGAAATAGAACTATCCATATATTTTTAAAATGAGGTTGAGTAGTATGTTCTGACATAGATTGCTAAGATTTAGTAAGTGAAAAAGTAGGGTGCAAAATGTTTTGTAGTTATGATTCCATTTTTGTTGGAGAAAAGCTACATTTAAAGAAATGCTTAGAAGTAATTTCACAGCAATTAAAACACTAAATGCGGACTGGTTGTTTTCTGTTCAGTGATATTTACTTTTATATAAAAAGTAAGGAAAGGATGCCCAATAATCACTAGTTATTAAAGGGACTGTCTTCTCCATTGTATATTCTTTCCTCCTTTGTTGTAGATTAATTGACCATAGGTGCGTGAGTTTATTTCTGGGCTCTCTGTTCTGTTCCATTGATATGTGTGTTTTTGTGCCAATATGCTGTTTTGGTAACTGTAGCTTTGTAGTAAAGTCTGAAGTCAGGGAGCATGATACCATCAGCGTTGTTCTTTTTTCTCGATTGCTTTGGGAATTTGGGTCTTTTGGGGTTCCATATAAATTTTAGGATTATTTGTTCTAGTTGTGTGAAAAATGTCATGGGTATTTTGATGGGGATTGCATTAAATCTGTAGATTGCTTTTGGGTAGTATTGACATTTTAACAATATTAATTCTTCCAATCCAAGAACATAGGATATATTTCCATTTCTTTGTATCATTTTCAGATTCCTTCCTCAGTGTTTTATAGCTGTCAGAACATAGGTCTTCCACCTTCTTGGTTGTTTATTCCTAGAGATTTTATTCTTTTTGATGCCGATTTTAAATGGGATTGTTTTCTGGCTTTCTCTGATAGTTCATTATTTGTGTATAGAAAAGCAACAGATTTGTGTGTATTAATCTTGTGTCCTGCAACTTTAGTGAATTCGTTAGTTCTAACATTTTTTTGGTGGAGACTTTAGGGTTTTCTATGTACAGTATCGTGTCATCTGCAAATAGAGACAATTTTATTTTTTCCCTTCCAATTTGGATTTTAGGGGGAAGATTTTCAGCTTTTCCCTATTGAGTGTGGTTAAGTGGCCTTTATTATGTTGAGATATGTTCCCTCTATATCAACTTTGTTGAGAGTTTTTATCATGAATGACTGTTAAATTTTGTCAGATGCTGCTTCTGTCTCTTTTGAGATGATCATATGATTTTTATCCTTTTTTTAATGTAGTGGGACACACTGATGGATTTGCAAATATTGAACTATCCTTGTGTCCCTGGAATACATCCCACTTTATCATGGTGTGTGATCCTTTTAATATATTGTTGGATTCAGTTTGCTAACTTATGAGGATTTTTTGCATCTATATTCATCAGAGATACTGGACTGTAATTTTCTTCTTTTGTAGAGTCCTTATCTGGTTTTGGTACTAGGGTAATGGTGGTCTTGTAGAATGAATTTGGGAGCATTCTGTTCTCTTCAGTTTTTGGAATAGTTTGAGGATAGGTATTAGCTTTTCTTAGTATGTTTAGAATTCCCCTGTGAAGGCTGAACTTTGGTTTGCTGGGAGGTTTTTTATTAATTACAAATTGAATTTCACTACTAATGACTGGTCTGCACTGTTCAGATTGTTTAACTCAGTCTTGGCAGGTTGTATGTTTCTAGAAATTTTTCCATTTCTTCTAGGTTGTCCACTTTGTTGGCATATAATGGTTCGTAGTATTCTCTTATGCTTTTTTTTTTGTATCGGTAGTACAGCTGTTGTTTCTCCTCTTTCTTATTTTATTTGGGTCCTCTCTTTTTTCTCGATGAGCCTGGCTAAAGGTTTATAAATTTTGCAAAAAGGTTTATCAATTTTGTTTATCTTTTCAAAAAACCAGCTCTTGGTTTCATTGATGTTTTCTGGTCTCTATTTTATTTCCTCTCTTATTATTTCCTTCCATCTACTAACTTTGGGCTTTGTTTGTTCTTCTTTTTCTAATTCCTTTAGACAGTAGCTTAGGTTATTTGAAATTTTTCTTCTTTCTTGAGGTAGGCCTTATATTGCTATGAACTTCAATAATCACTATTAAATTTCCCAATCTGGTTTGAGGGGTGGGAAAAGACTTACTTTTTTTTTATTTGTCCTCCTTTTTGGTATTTGAATTTTTCACCATATTCTTCTGTGAATTTTATAATTAAAATTAGATTTAAAAAATTTTTAAAGTCACAGTAAAACCAATAAACCTAACAGGTACTTAAAATATGACTTAATCCAGACTGCTTAGGAGGAATAATTTTCTAAATTGAGTTAATTCTTATTTTCAGATAATTGTCAAGATTTAGTTCTATAAGTTCTCATTTTTCGGTTCAAAAAACTTTTATTAATAGCAGACATATGGACTTTCTGAAGAACTGTTACATAAGCAACACAAATTTGTGAAATTAAAAAGAATACGAGCTATATGTCTTGAATTTATAGCTTAACTATATTGGAAATTCATTGGCAGAGTGATGAATGGTTGTTTCTTATTGCTTCTTTGGCTTCACCGAGACCAGGACTAGCATTCTCTATCTCACGCTAAATTAAAGGAAGATGGAGGCCTTATTTTTCAGATGCTGCTCAACTTTGGGCCATTCCTAGCCACCCTTAAAGATTCCGTTGGAGAATTTTTAGAAGATTAAAATGCCCATAGTTGGCCCTTCCCAATTATTTAATAGTCCTTATGATTAAGGGGAAAGAGGCAATGCTTCTTGAAACCTATACATGTACTTTGGTATTAGGTATTTAACTTAAGTCTTTTGGCAGTTGCAGTAGTGGAATATTTGATGGTAGTTTCTGAAAAACCTAGAATTATTCCAAACTTTCATTCCAAGAAGTGAGACCTTGAGGTTATTACCTCAAATTTTGTATAAAATTGTAATAATGAGTTGTTTTTTATTTTAGTCAGATTTAAAAAAAAAAAAAATCTGTGTTCTTAAATATAGCATTAGTTTCATTTACAAATACTATTTCCAAAAGCCTGGGAAAAGAACACAACCAAATAAAATATTCTTTGGATACCTCTACTAGAGATAGGCTCAGGTTTTCACATGGAAAAGTATGGTGATATGGAAATACATTTTATTATCAAGCTTCTTTGAGGATATTTACAAAGAGTGGGATGTAATAAAAAATAAAAATGTACTGAACAGTGTCATTATAGACTACTTTGTACATTATCAAATGTTTCTAAGAATTATTTCTTATACAAACACAATGACTTCAAGACAAAAAAAAGGTTATGCAGGTTATACAGTAACTGGAGAAATTACTCAACTCCAAATTATCTGACAGTGCCTTTACATTTTTTGTTTTAGAAAACTTCTTAGGCATTCAACAAAAACAAAAAGAGTGCAATTAATTTCATGGCTTGTAAAGTTTGATTATATAAGTATAGCAAACAAACGTCATTCCAGTTAATTATCATTTTACGCAGTAAAACCACAGTAGGGTGCCTAGTGACTCAGAATTACTTCATTCTAGCACACTGACATAAACACTTACTTTAGAGAAATTTGGGGAAGTTATCCTCTATCACAGGGAAAATACACTTTCCAGAGGTTTTGCAAAATTAATTTGGTTTAATTTTTTAAACTCCTATCTGACAATGAAATACTGAGACATTGTGGAGTGTCTCCTGGAGATATTTAGGGGTAGGCAGTATAGTAAAATGGTTAGGAGGGGTAAGAAGGACTCTGGAGCCACATTGGCTGGGTTCAAACCCACATCCTAACTGTGACCTTCAGCAGCTAGTTACTTAATTTCCCTGTGCCTCAGTTTCCTTATCTGTGAGATAGAGTTCACGTGCACTTACCTCATGGCTGTTGTGAGGGTAAAACACGTAAAGAGCTCAGAAAAGAGGAGCACTGTGTGTTTCCTTCCATTCTCTCAAGGATATTTTTAGTCCTAGATAAGGCAGTAGCTTCAGGATCTCTAAGGGCCCTCTCAGTCTTAGTCTGTTCACAAGAAGAACATTCTTTTCCTTTGCTACCTCAAATTCTGTGGGCAGTGATAGTTAACACATTTATAACTTTTAGCTTATCAACATCTGATCTTCACAAAAACACTGTGAGAAAGGTATAGGCAAGAATTATAATCTTTATTTTATAGATTGAGGAACTCAAGGCTCAGACAGATTGTCACCTGCCGAGGCCGACGTAGGTAATTCAAGAACGGAGCCAAAGTTTTTGGCTCCACATCTTTGGCTCTTTTTGGAGGGAAAAAAGTTTACAATGATTACTGAGGAATCAAAAAACAAAAAGTCCCTAGATTTTTTATAAGTGAATGGTCCCACCAGATCTTTAACTTTTTGGGGGGAAAACTGTTAGTAACTTTTAAAAAGCTATGAAAAAGTCTAACCTCTTAAATATGATATCTGGGTAGGAAAAAATGTCTTTAGCTGGCTGATGAAGCTGCAGTGTTAAAAAAAAAAAATTTCATTCTTTCATTTGCTCAGCTGATAATATAGCCGCACTCTTATAAACTGTTTCATGCTCTACCCCATCCACTCCCTCAAACTGCTTAAAATATAATTGGTTTTAAAACATTCCAGGTATCTCTAAAGCCTTCCAATAAGCTAAGGGAAGAACAAAAGGATGCTGTTATTCTTTCCTGTAGCATTAACTGATTCTGCACTGGCCTACTTTTAGCATATATTTAATTTTCTTCCTCAAATTACTCAACCCTATGTAAAGATAAATTGTGTAATTAGAGTTCAGATCTATACCTATAAAATGTTGGAATCCAATTGCGGCATCACAATGGCATCAGTGGGAACGTGAATATTTAGCAGCAGAGTCAAGCTATAAGAAGACATACATAACAACTCAGCACTGAGACCAGCAGTTCCTACTCCTGGTTTTGTACATCAGTTGTCTTGAATGACCTCAGGGGCTGTTGCAACATATCAATACTTACAAAAGGTGACAACTTAATTTTCATGTTCCAAAGAGCATATTCAGAATTTCAACTCCAAAAGGGTTAGGGATCACTGTTTTGGAGTCTTGACTGACCTAAAAAAGAAAGGTAAAACAGTCCAGCACTCCCTTTCCAGGAGTCTAGGAAAAACCCCTCAATGCCTCTAAGGTCGGTTAAACGTTTATAAAGTCTATAGGAAATGGCATGCTGGCAGCCTCTCAGTTACCGCATAAATGCACATCTGTTTAGTAATCAACCTTGTAACTCTTGTATGATTTGGTTAAGCTATGCAATAACTGGACTCTAGCTTGCCTTTTTCTCCTTTTTAAAAAAATGTTAAGAATAGGAAAGGGAAGATAAATTAAGTGCCACTATTGTACTAAAATGAACGATTAGGAAAAATACAAAAACCAGTTATTGCTTATGCTGTAAAAATTTATGAAAAGCTTTATCTCGGGTTCCATTATGTTTTTATTACTCATTTTCCCCTCTTGTACCTACTCAATATGAACTACAGTATTGGTGTCACTGATTCCTTATCATATTTCCTCATGTCTTTGCATCCTTTCAGATGACAACCTACAAAGAACAACAGTTATGCAGCAAAATACCAGTCCATAACATGAAATCCTTCCTTATTGAAGTTAGCTCAATAATAATTAAGGATCCTCTTCCATGTCATCTGGATTGGGAGCCATAATGAAGTGCTTTGGGTATTCAAGGTTGTGTGTATATGCATGTATTTCCCAGCGGGCATCGTCACTTTCATGTGTAATGTAACGTTCACCAATGCGAGTTTCAAATTCTCTAAGGTCAAGCCAAGTCTGATAGTCCTAGGGGAAAAAAAAAGATTATGAACCATAAAAGAAACAATACTGTCAACCTTCTTTTTGTTTGCTCAGCACCCTAGTCATAAAATTGACAACCCCTACCTCCTAAATACTTGGTATACAATAAGTTCATTTGTAATATTTTAAGTTAGCAATGTTAAAGATAAATACTTTTTCAAATTTAGAGTCTCTCATGAAGGAAGGAACTAGTTTCTAAAATTAAAAAAGAAAACATTGCCTCAGGCTTCTGAGGTGGCTAATAATAACCACTAAAATATTTTGTTGGAGAGGCCTACACCTTACTTCTCAAAATAGGGGAAGGTGCTTAGAATTTGTTATCAGGATAATTTAATAACTGCTGAGACTAAATATGATTATATTTGTTTGAAGTTATTTCTACCCCTCATTCCCTTTAAAATAGTTCTGAAGCTTCTCTCTTTACTCTGAAGTTTGGGGGTATCTTGACAAATCTATGCAATAGCTTTTGGGGGGAATTAAGCCAAACATTTTAAATGGCATCTCTGATCTCTTCAATGCAAATATAAACCTTTTAGTGGACATTTTAAAAATAAAATATATTTGACAACATAACGTGTCATGCTCACCTTACAAAAAGGTGAAATGAATACTATAAGGCCCTAAGACATGTAGAATCTATTGCTTTTAAGAGTGGTTTCATTAAGACAATCACCATGAACTGCTCAAATGAGGATCGCCGAAGAGAGGTACATTTTTTTTTGCCGAGAGATACATTTTTGTTTTTTACCTGCAGCCAGGGATGACTAAGAGATTTGTCCACACTGTAACGTTTTCTCATCTTCACTTGAAGTAGGTTGTTTATCAAATCAATTGCTAAGGGAAAAGACAAAATTAGATACATGAATTTGAGCCTATGGAGCATCCCAAACCTGTAACTCTGCCTGGAAAGCAGTTCAATCCATAGAAATACACAGTTGAGGATTTTTGCTTCTCAAGGACATGGGCTTTAAGCTAACATGCTGGTGATCCATAAATATTTACTGAATTCACAGTGTATCTGGTTTATTAAGGAGACAGTATAGAGTACAGGTTAAAAGTACAGACTGGAGCCAGCCTGCTTGAGCTGGCGTTGTTACTACGTGTGACACAGGGTGAGTTACTAAAGTATACTGTGCCTCGGTCAACTGTAAAATGAGGTTGTTGAGAAGATGAAATAAATTTCATACACATAAAGGGCTTAGAATGGTGCTCAGCATATAAATGCTGAGTATTAACTACTATTTTTTAAGATGAATAAGACAGACTCTTATTATAGGCTGATTTTGTTTCTTTTTTCCCTCCCCAATAATGCCATGTTCTTCTCTAGTCTCGGGCTTGGTCTGGAAAAGTAGCCGAAGCCATTGCCTTGCTTCTACAGATGTGGTTACAGTGAGGTGATAACTTATTACCAAAAGTTCATACTTAACAAGTTTTAGCAAATAAGGTCATGGTATTTTGGTGTATGTGGTGAGATCTTGGCATACATATCTTATCCAATTATTTGGAGAAATGGGCCAACTGCAAAACCAAAGCAACCAGGTAACTATACACTGACAACATCCCTATGTAACAATACAGTTGTTACTAAGGCATGGATCCAGGGATGAGCCAAATGAACGACTTATACTATACTATTTCTAGTTCTAAATACCACCAAACTAGCAACGATTTTCCGTATTTTTGTTTTTGCCCTAATCAAGTTATTTTTTTCGCATAAGTATTTTAATTATTAATTTCTCTGTATTCTAAATACTTAAGACTTTTATCCATTGTTCCTTAAATGGCGGTCCACTATGTGCATCAGAATCATTCAGTGTATTTATTAAAATGTATTCAGTGTATTTATTCCTGGGCATCAATCCAGCTGGTGAGTCTGAATCTCTGGGATAGAGCCAGTGGGGTCTTCTTTTTAATAAATTCACCAAGTGATTCTGATTTAAGAGGTCTGCAGACCACACTGTCCAAGGAGCTCTAAGATGACTCTGGCAACATCCCCAAACCCTCATATGTACTTCTTTAGTTAGCTCTGTTCATTACCAAGTAAGCCTACTATTTATATGTTGTTCCTCAAACTTTTCCCAGTTTAATGGGCTATTAATCCGTATGATTAGGCACTTTTGGGAAAATAAAAAAAAAGATCCCCCTGTTCCAAGGGTTGGCTAAATTCTGGTGGGGATGTTCCCCAGTAGTGGTTCTATCAAATGCTATGGGAATGTTAAATAATGTTTTAAGTGGTATATAAAGAACCTAAGTTACATGTCTCCATTCAAGGAGATCAGAATCTAGTTCTGAAAATAAGTGGTCGTGAAAAGATAAATACGCCCAACTAGTAGCCTAAGTAGATCTTACACAGTTTGGAGGAGGGGTTCAAGGAAGACTTCTCAGATGAGCCACAAGTTAAGGGATCTCTGAAGAACTGGAAGGATTTCGACAGCAAGGAGGAGAGACGGGTAGGCAGGGAAAAGACCTAAGCAAAATGCAGCGAGTAGTTGAAAGTACCTGGCGTAGGGCAGTAATGGCGGATGAGGCTAGAAGGCAAACTTGGGCCATATCACAGAGACCTACAGGTGCAGCCTGGTTAGAGGGAGGCTGAGATTTATGTCCGGGAGCAGTGTAAGATGAAAGTAGTGTTTCCTGAAGGATTTGGCAGTGGTGACTGAGGACAGTTAAGCTATTTGAGTAGTTTCAAAATGAGGCAGTTGGGGCCTGGATTAGTGCCCTGCCTGCGAACTATAAGGAAGATAAAGAAAAGATAATGTAAAAGGAAGCGTGCTCAAAAAATTGGTAAACAGTTGAATTTGGAAGGTGAATGGGAAATATTAAAAAGAGAAGTCAGAAGAGACAGGGTGATTTGGGATCACAAAGATTTTGACTACAAGGCACAGACCTAAAACTTATTTTTTTTTACCTTCACCAGAAATTTCTCTCCATGGATTTGGTGGGTACATAAATGCAGCATTTTGGATTTGGTCATTTATATCTTCATCTTCATTAAAAGGAAACGTGCCACTGAGGCTCACATAGACAATAACTCCCACTGACCACATATCTAGAGAACGGTTGTAGCCTTTGCTCCTGAGAACTTCAGGGGCCAAGTATGCAGGAGTTCCTACCACAGATCTCCTGAACGACTTTTCACCAATGATGCGTGCAAAACCAAAGTCACACAGCTTCACCTGGAAATTAAAGGATGATGTTAATTTTATATTACTAATATAGGTATCAATCTATATATATATACCTGTCCCTCAATATGATACTGTATCATTTCAACACATTTGCCAACTATATTATGTCAAAAGATTATAGATAAGGAAATTGTAAAATACCCTTTTCCCAAAATTTAGATACATTTATAACCCTGTGATCCATTACTAACAGTATGAAGAACTTTGCTAATGCTCATTTCAAAAAACCACTTTTGAATTCTAGCTTCCAGAATGCCAAATACCAGACTGGTATTATAAGTGCTCAGCGTTTTTGATGAAATGGAGAGTGCTAATCTTTTATCATTTGGCTTTTAGGAGATCACTTTCTATTACCTGTAAGCAGGAACTATATGTTTCACTTTTAAATGCTCAGTGGCCTCACAGTGCCTGGATAGAGGTACTCAAATGTTTGCTGAATTAAAAATAAGTTACTTAAAAACTTACCCTTTATTTTGCTTAATCCTAGAATCTCTCTTCCCAAGGACACTATATATTGGCACGTAAATGAAATTGAGGTGAATTTAAGATAACTATTAATGTGGCCAGTAGAAGAGTCATATTAGAGATTGTTTGAAAGAGAAAGAGT